GCCTTAAGGCAAATTGCTGGAACTTCCCGTACCGTAACGAAATGTTCGAGGAATACTAAATGTTTTCAAATAGATTATTATTAATATTGTAACATTGTCTAATATTTATAAGAATTATATAAACTAAAGTGCAAAGTTGAAATTATTTGTTTAAAGTATATTAGAATTATAGTCAGAAATAAAAATAAAATCTGAATTTTTTTCGACAAACAAAAAAAAAGATACAATTTTTTGTCCAAAATCAATTATTTTGTTAGAACAAGCTGAAAGTTCTTTGAATCATTTAAATTGGACGCTTAGTTCTTTCAAAAATTGCCATTTTTGCACATTTAGCTCTGTATCTTCAAAATTGCCATTGCCAAAAACTAATAATCACTTCTCCGAATCATTACTAATTGAATGTTTTTTAGATCATTCAAATGGGATGCTCCGTTCACTCAAAAACTCGATTTCTATTTTCTGCACTCTTTGCTTCGTATCTCCGTAACGGCTGGACCTGCCTTAGCCAAAAACTAATCAGCTCTTCTCCCTATCAATTGCAATCGAATATTTTTTGAACCATTCAAATCGGTTGATCCGTGCGCCCGAAAACGTGACTGGAAATTTGTATCCATACATACATACACACACACATCTATTTTTTGAGGTATGCCAAAATGTTCAGAAACCTTCAAAACGTCGAGAATTGTAAAAATTTTCAATTTCGATTTTCGGCCCATTACAATAACCCTACGGGAAGTTAAAAAAGACAAAGAACATAAAGATAAAAAAAAAACTAATTCAATTTTTTTTAAACTATTCACGACAAAGCAATAATAAGCCAGATCGCAAAATTCATCAAAACTTGAATTATTATATAAAAAATAGCCACTTACAAGTACAAACTTGAAAGCTCTATGAAATAATAATCCATTTGATAATGTGATAAATATGGAGATTCCAAAAATTCTGTGGAAAAATGTACACCCTTGCCATAGATTTTTTGGGAACATACAGCTGTATTTACAGTAGGGGCAGTTGGGGCTAGTGCAAATTGTGAGAAAAAAATGTTCAGAAACCTTCAAAATGTAAAGATATAAGCCCTAATTAAATTCAGATGAAAAAAAATTACTATCTGAAAGTAGGGTGAAAGATAATCGTTTACTAAAATGACTATTAGGAAACAGTAGCTTGAAGTATGAAGGTGCAAATTTAGGGCCATATGATTTTTTAATTACACATCACAGAAACTTAAAGAAAATTGTATCAAAAATTAAGAAAAAAGTATTAGGTATGGATAGCCTTAATTAAAAATAACTTGTTTTGCAATTTAATTAAATTAAATTAATATAAATAAATTTAAGCTCTTTCATAAGTTCAAGATTATCCTAATCGAAATTCAGTAAAGAACATGTATTGATTGAAAAAGGGATGAAATATTATTCGAATACTAAAATGACTATCACGGAATAAAAATGAAAATTTATAGATTTTATTCAGCGTGATTATTTTTATGCAAGGAACATATCATAAACATATTGTGAATCATTCCTAAGAGAAGCATCGTAAATATTGCGATAAATAAAATTCCCGTTAAGCCAGCTATCACTTTAATTGCAAAAAGCACAAAAGTCTGCAAATAGTAAACATGATGATACGATATCAATTATTCTTGATTCTTATTAAAATTAATTTTAGAAAACCGCGTTCATTACTCATCACAGACATATTGTGATAAATAAAATTAAATAAACTAGTTGTAAGTAGCATTTTGCCTTGAGGCAAACGTACCGTAAATAAATTTATGAGAAATATTAAATGTTTTCAAACACATTATAAATACTGTAACTTTCATTGTTCTTATTACAAAGACAAAATATGAGAGCTTATGAATTAGACGACGACGTTTAAATATGTTTACAGAAAATTAAATGA